ACATGCTTCAGCGACATAGACTTGTTTAAACATCAAGCTCTAGCAAATATGACCTGTAAATAGAGTAAATATACACTGACTAACAATGCAATCAAGGACTAAATAGTTATCTGGATCTAATTCTCAGTGTTCCTTCACTTAACACCTCATCTTGTTTTAAACTACGCATTATCCTGTAATATCTTTTCTTCTGACCACTGCCTGCCTAATTTCATATTCTCGAGTTCCATTGCCAAACAACAAGGATGACACTTCTCCAAAAACATACGGTGAGTTCCAGCTATAAGTTTTCTGCAAACATAAGTTCATTTTAGATGGCTCATTCAATGGCGCACACAGTTATCTGGATTCATTCGGTTGTTCTGATCCGAGCGAGTGGCAAAAACGTCAACAGCATCAAGCACCATGGAATTAATTGCCATACTGCATGTTTTATTCTGGATACTTTTGGATCATTACTACTCCTCACGAATGGCGTTATTGTCGTCCACTGAATAATCTAATTTTCAAAAATAACCCAGGCGAGTTCAACTATTTTACTGGATGATTTTTTTTGTACTTAAGATGTATATGTTTTTCAGTTGCTTTTGCCATATATTTGTGTCACTAAGCTAAATGCAGTAACTTCTTATGGAAGGTTTATAACGCATCATATTCCTGCCTGAAGTTTCACAAGCATTCTTAACGTTGAATTTATTTATCTGGTCATGTTCATTATTATTAAATTGTCATATACGTCAACAACCTGCTTGTTAACCTGACCCATACACGCGTTGCACTATATCTCCATGTCTTCTAAATTTAGAAATCATCTGGATCGCCTTTAACATTTATCAATAAACCCATCATAGTCGTTGTTGCTAATCGTATTTGGGTTTATGTATTGGTTTATCATATTGGCAGCCTAAAATGCGAACATAGTTTAGATAATAAGATTAAAAATTTGGGTACTATCAACTGCACTAGTAAAATAACTAAATCCTCAGGTAGCTGTTGGCTAAACAAACGTTTAAAATCAAAACTCCGTAGCCTACTAGAATTAACACTAAACGAATATTTCTGAATTGAAATTTATAATTAAATTAGGTGTCTTGGATTCTTTAACGTTATAAATTTCTGATGATTTCGAATCACCTAAAGCAACAATACCTATTTTTCCACTGACTAATCCTCAATCAACACTATAACTAGTTAAATTTAATAGTTTCAGGATATCGTCATAAAGCATTGTCATAACTTGACAATCACGTAATATGACTGATGAAATTAATGAAACTATTAACGAAATCGGTCAACAAATTGACTTATAATTACCATTAAATGGTGTTGTTTTCTTGGTATCTTCATCCATCACAGATGATTACAGTATGTTTCTCTATCAGTTGCTCATTCAGTAAATATCTCAAAACCTTGTCAGTCTAATTGATGGTTTAGCGACACAATCATGCATGCAAATAATCAGTATAAGCAGTCGAGCAAATCTCCTGCAAACTGAAAACATCAATGTCGAATTTACCCCAACACTGACTTAGGTTCAAGCCATTATCATAGACATGAGTTGGGAGTGTACTCCCCCTGGTTACAACTTATGTTCTCCCTGATAATCACATGAGCATCACTCACTATTAATCATCTTGTAAAAACTTATTTAGCTAAATAAATCTTGCAGCACCACATCACTTCGTAATATGACACAGGCCTAACTGATTTTAATAACTTATAACCACTATATCTCAATTAAATCGTATTCCGCCTTATGATAAACTGCATACTTGCAACTAACTTGTATGCCCAATCAGCCAGCAAGTATAAATATAAATAAATAGTCTGCCGCAGATCAGAACATTGAGTACAGAGCATATCTCTTACGAATACACTCATGTTTAACAATTTGTTCCTAGCTATCTGTCCAAAATTCATATAATCATCACTTACGTATTTAAATTTTGTTTTGATAAACATTCATGTGTATTAGTAGTATTACTAAATTCTATCACGGCCAAGTAAAAATGAGGTTGAGGAAATCTCCCCGTAACTAAATAAACCGTATCAAACTAACTGGAACACTAGTTGGAATTCTTCTCCACGGTATACTTTTGTTCCTTCAGATAGCCTACTAATACAGATGCAATTGGAAATCAATTCATATGGACAACTTACCGGCATAATCGTTATCTGATTTCATAATTTAAACCAAAACTAATACCAATATTAACATTTCTACAATATTCATTACTTTAATATTTCTAAACACAAAATACTTACTACCTATACGTTAAGTTATTAACCAACGGCTATTAACACGCATTGTTTTATTATTATTACTGTAATCCCATTTTTTTATAGCTCAAATAATCTTCACCCAAATTGTCATTTTTAGCGTGTCAAGCATGAAGGCAGATTTTTTTAAAAAAATTATTACATGTATTTCCCGACCAGATGCTGCCGCCTTCTTTTTGATTTATCTTTCAGCTTATCATTACCCGGAGAATTCTACCTATTCTTGGTAACCTCCGGCGCGCGACGATCCCATCCAGTTTGGTGTCGAACCAACATCACGTTGATTCTGGTGGGAGAGTAGTGTAGTGGCATTGGACAATAGCCACACAATCCACAAAGCTGTGAACACGAGACTACTCAGAAAATAGATATTCAATATTTAACGCGGAGAAATACCCAACGATGGGGAAGGCGCGAACAGTGAATTGAATAAACTGGAGTTGATCGAGTGGCATGGCTCGGCCATGCAGGCGTGGTCTCTGGCGAATGTTACCTTATATCTTCTATTCATATTAAATATATTGTTCTTTCTCTAGCCTAATCTTGTTCTACAACATGTATTGGTAATTGATGCGATACAGTGAGTTGGTGTAGTCGATGGTGTGACTTCCACGTAAGATCTTATAGATTAGGCAGTTATATCATGACAAATCTACAAATTTAGGATTAGGTCTATTATTAGAGCAGTACTAATATCATAGTAGACCATAATTCTACAAGTTTACCAAAAATCTGTGAGCTGACTCATATTACACTTATTTTCATGGTGTGTCAGTGCAGGGAACCTTCAAGCTACCGACTGGTAGCACTACAGTCAAAACCTTCGTAGTAGTATTGGTCCTAACCACATAATCCTCGAAACTGAACATGAGGTAACTGGGAAAATAGATATTCAAGATTTGACACGGAGAAAAGACTATGAATGATGAACGCAGGAATAGAGAATTGAATCGAATAAAGTGGCTCAGCCTCGGAGGCGTGGTCATTCTGTATAACCTGCCTTTATTCACTTTAAATATATTATTATATCTTTAGCCTTAAATGGTACTAAGTATCATATTAGTGTCATGTTACGATAAGTCATTATAGACAACGATGTGACTTCCATATTAGGTCTTATAGATTAGGTAGTCATGACAAATCTACAATTTTAGAATTAGGTCTATTATTAGGGCAATACTAATAATTCTACAAGCTCGAAAATTGTGGAATCTACGTGACAACTTACTATTAATAAACCTGTTTTCACCCCAACAGCACGGTTTCAGAAAATGTCACTTTCGTATTACCAACAAGCTAGTCAGGGTGTACAGATGAACGATCAACCTCGGAATGTCCTAATGGGGTCCTTCAGGATTCAGTACTAGAACCACCTCTTTCCTTAACTTATGTAGATGACGTTCCTCAGCAAGTATAGTCTGATTCATTACTCTTCTCTGGAAATAAGTTGTCAACCAACGTGACAAGTCGGTACCTAAGAAGGATTTGACTCGACTTCAAAGTTGGGCGGATAACAATGGATATATCTCTAACACTTCAAAGTGTGACATAGTTCATTTGAGATATGTTTTAAACTACGAATACAACTTAGGTAACTCCTCTCCACAGAAATCACAAATTGAAAGAGATATAGGATTGTTAACACCTTACGGTCTGAAGTCCTGCCCTTACTGCGACAAAAATGCTTTCCGAACAAACTCTTCACTGATAACGTTGAAGCCCATTTCCGGCCTGTTTGACGGAAGAACATTCCACGTTATCTTCAGCAGTTTTGCTTAACCCTATTTGAAGTATGGGAACATAACGTTATCCCCTTACTCTTAAACGGTAGTGATATACTGGGATATATCAAACAGAGAGCCATGAAATCAGTTCGGAGACTCAAATTCAAGAGTCATGAAGAGCATCTGAAATAACTGAACATTTATTTAATAAAGTATAGGCGTTTCAGAGATAATCTCCTAATGACTTACAGCGTCCTAAACAGTTCTGTACATCGCTATGAATGGCAATCTTAGCTGAGTTCCAAAACAAACCCTAGCGATAACACCCAAATCTGGGGACACAACATAACAAATCAAACTGCTCACACATCTTATACTCCTTAAGAGAAACCAAATGCTGAAATTCGCTGCCAACTGAGCTAGTCTAAGGGATTCCTCGAGAGTTCTTCAAGAGAAAACCTGACTATTTCTCAAGGACTTAGGACAGTACCTAGCTTCAATTTACTATTATTTTTTTCCAATTTACCGTTAAATATACCTATGTTCCTATTTAGCAGCATCGGTGGTCGGCTGCCACTAGATGTGAAAGTTCATTAAAGGAAAGCTTTCCTTTTTGTATTAGAGGCGTTTTAATCATTTTAGATAAAGATTACTTTGAGGACAGCGGACGAGCTGAAAAAACATGAACGAACGGAACCCAACTTTGATCAGTTCATTTAAGCGAAGATTGGAGATTCATATAAGATTTCCAGAAAAAGACGAACACAGAACCTCACTGTTTTATCTTTAAATCACAAATCTGGCAAACCTTAGTGCTAAAACGTGGACATGAGGGATAATGACATACTGCGATATTAATATGTATTACTAAAGTACAGTACATTTAGACGCTATGTGGAATGTATGTGAACGGAAGCTGTAAACAAAGGTTTAATTACAGTTTATAATTTAAATTTTCCAAGACACTATCATTATTGATTGTTTTACTCTACAATCAATAGTCCTCTGGCGATCTTTTAAATTCCTTACTATTGAGGATGGTTAATTTTAATTAATTCCTTGGAAGTCTGTTCTGGAAGTTTACATTTGATGTAAAATTTGTAAGTCTGGTTTCGCATTTCAAGTGTTGCCACGAATTGTTGATGCTATAACTCCTTGGTTAGATGTTCATCTTTTTAAGTGTAGCATAAACGAACTCTAGTTTACTCGTTTATACTTTTTTCAGTTTTACTATGTTAATTGATGCTTCGATTTAATTTTTAACTAGTTCCTTTTTACGTTATTCTAGTAGTTCGACAGTATTCTGGGCAGTGGTATAGATAACACGCCATTCTTGAAAATCTTACCTACAGTTTTCTGGACATTGGGGTAGTTAAGTACATTAACAAGATATGTGAATTTTTTAGATGGCAAATGTTACAGATGAACGTAGTTCTATCATATTTTTATAAGATTGATCCTTCGGAGTGTATTCCCAACATTCGCTTGTGACCAGTATATCAACTGCAATTGATTGATTTGATTTCCTTTTCTTATTAAGCATCATATAAAGACCCGTCTAGACATCTCAGTTTAACTGAGACACACTGCAACAAACGTTTCAAAGGACAGTCACTCATGTTCATCCTTTCTACAAAACCTCAGTTTCCGAAGGTCGTATCAAATACTCTCCACGTTAATCACTGAATTGGTTCTTTATCTCTCCTTAATATCGGTTCTCGGGTGTTTTTGAAAAAGGCAAAAATAGTCATTTTAAGCTACAGTTGTGATTGAAAACTCTTCACATGTTTCCGCATACATATTAGCCCACGAATATCCAACTCCTATCACAATTCACCTACCCTAACTCGGCTTTCTAAGCCTAGCCAGAATATCTCATAAACTGGCAGTATTATTCTTAATAAAATTACCGTCACATCTGTCAGGTAGATGTGTTAGGATGTTTAAAGTTAATCCTGCCGAACACGATAGAAATCAAACACAAAATGGGACTCCGAAAGGGTCATTTTTATCTGGATTATGTCATGGGGTTTGCCGTGTATTAGCCGAATACATTCAAATAGTGTTTCTTAAACACATTCGTAAAGGTTAGTCTTATTGTACTACGTTTCTGAACAGAAGCAATGACAGTGTAGCCGCATTTTAATTTAAAAACCTAGTGTGTTGGCAAAAAACTTACTTTCGCCATAGTGTAGCTTAGTGGTTTGAAAACGACTTACGATCGTTGCAGGTTAAAATAGTCCTGACTACTTCATTAGTTAGCTGGGTGGCATTAAATTTCGTTAATGGTTTGCACCTTCATATTAATCAGCTCTTCACAGCAGGATGCGTCAACCGTTGCTCCAGTTTAGAAGCTCTACATACTAGAAAGAGCCTCGCTCATCTACATGAACCATTTGTTGAAGTTAGCGTAGTTTTAATTAAATCCGTCATATAAACCATGCATAATTTCTGTTTCAGAAGAGTAGCTGATTTCGAGGCTACTTTTAAGAATCTTGTTGACTTATATATAATGTTCTCCGTCTCAAGACTGTCTAACGGTTCATTAAAAAACTCCTGTAATGTTATACGCTTAGAGGAAAAGTATTCATTGCTTCAGTTGATGTTTTATTGGAATTCATGAAAGTGGTCGTTATAAGTTGTCACTGAAATGTATCTAAACTAATTCTGTTTGTGGTGGGACTATAATCTACGGACGACCTTTGAGCGACGCTAGACTTACCTTGAGAGTGTCCACCTGATAACTGTGACCGAATGAGGGTTATAAATTAGTGTGAGGAATTCGAATTATGATTTACAGTTGATGGTTAAGGTTAGGAATTAGATTTAGGGTTTTCATCACGAACTGACATCAGTTATAATGCCAAGACTCTATTTGGCCAAATAGTTGAGTGAATTTCACGCCAAAATCTGATACCTGTCATCTTATACCTGATTGATGTATCCGTAAATTATAGTCTCACCCTGTTTGTTAGTGAAGTTAGCTTATTGATGGTTCAATGTATATAGGCAATCTTAATTTTGTTAGGTTTTTATTCGCATACTTTTCTTCCATAATGTTAAGAATGGCCATACTAAATTAAGTTCAGCGTAAGAATATATTATCTTACCCATCAAACGCAATTTAACCGGTGCGTCTACACATCACGTTAAACACTGTTTATTAAAAGTTAGGCATATCGTATATGCTCCGAAATAATAATATGAAGTCATACAAAATTCTCGATAGCAACTCAAAATGGTGTTCTGAATGAAGAAACCCTGTTAATCGTAAATGTGTGTTTGTCGGCTGTTATTTTCGGGAATAGATCTTAGATTCTCGGTATACACTTTTGGAACCCAGTGGTTGATTGATGTTGAAACAAAGTATAATGGGAAACAAATGTAACTGCTTTGTAGTCACATCATGTACTGTCCTCCCCGACGTATAATGTTGACTGGATTAGAAATAAGTTCGAAGTTACTAGGAGCTAACTAAGACATGAAGCCAATGTATGGTCACAGACTGTTGGTCTGACTCATTATCATTATCAGTGGATGGAAACGTGTGACAAAAGGTCACAGTGGCGCAAACGTGTTCACTATTTCTCCACGCCTTATGTCTTAAATTCTCGTATTTCTTCTCACATCCTTCCTGGACTCCATCTCGAACTATGTTCTTAATGTTTAGTCTTTATCATTGTCATTTGTTCTGCAGGCTTTGCTATTTATCTTTCTGTACTGGTGAATTATAGGAACTTGAGTTAATCGATATTTGTGTCAGGCACGAGGTTGATTATAACTGACTAACTCATAGTATGTCACATACTTTGGAGTTTTTATGTAGATATTTTAAATACACTTTTACATTTTATAGCCGTATCGACGTAAAAGCTTTTACTAGCTGTCGAATATGTCCAGGATGCTTGCAGTACTGACAGCTGTATCTGAGTAGTTTAAATACTCAATTTTTCACGTTCGAGTGTCACATTTGGACTTATTCTATTCACTTTAGTTTGGTTAGCCCACTTCATATAATAGGTAAGGTTCAAATTATAGTTTACGAACATGAGGTATGTCACCCAGTTACGTAATGTGGATCTAACAACAGTTTTTACCAAGAGAATATTATAAGTTGTGGTGTATGGTCAGAATAACAAAATACTTTATGAATAGTAACTTAGAAGCTGGAGTATGTAATCGTACGCTATATGACTCATCATTCTATGACACGTCAAAAACCTCCCACGAAAAGGCCGTGCGCGACCGGCCTCAAGCAGTTGTCCCTTGGGCACTGCGGTCACGCTCTCAGGTCACTGAGACCGCCACTAATCCAATTTCCTTTTCAGGTACCTCCAGAACAACCCTTCCACGGTGTGGGCAACCGGGAAGTGATAACCGCCCTCATACCTCTAACAGCACCCAAGACCACTGTATTCATAATCAACCTTCCTCTTCAATTCCTATTATTCCTCCTACATCGACTTTCAACCCTAAACTTCCTCGTTCGGCTTCCTCTTCAAGTGTCACAATAGCCAACGATTCTAGTGCTCAAAACTGTCCCAGGTCTACTGAAACCTCGCTCCAAACTACACATTGGAGCCTTCAACGTACGCACTCTATGTCAAATCGGTCAGCAGGCTTCCTTGGCTAAAACCCTACAGTCTCCATTGATGTATGTTGTCTCCGAAACACGCATACAGGATTCCTGTGTGGTCATTCACTTGATCTCACCTCGGCAAAACGGAGAGCCAACGAGATACACCCTACGTGTATCTGGTGACCCGATGGCCAGTTCTCGTGGACTGGCAAGTGTAGGCATAGCACTAAGCATGAGGGCGGAACAAGCACTGCTAGAGTGGATCCCCGTCAATAGTCGTCTATCTGCTGTTCGGCTAAACGGCTCCGTAAGAACTCGGAAGGATAGGGACACACGTCGTTGCCTTTTCGTCGTTTCTGCCTACGCTCCCACTGACTGCAGCTCAGATGATATGAAAGATGAATTTTACAGAAAGCTGTCCGACCTTCTTCAGAAAGCTAAACGCTCAGACATAGTACTCGTAGGGGGTGACTTTAATGCTCAGATAGGTAGCTTAAACCAAACAGAAAGGCATTTAGGTGGATATTTTAGCATTCCGGCACAGCGAACAGATAATGGTGACCGTCTGCTGCAACTGTGCTCAGACAATCGCTTATTTTTAGCAAACACAAATTTTAAGCATAAGGAGAGACATCGTCTAACGTGGCGACCGCCTGCACCAAACGAACGATGGACTCAAACAGACTATATTGCCACCAGTCATCGTTGAAGAGGGTCGGTACAAGATTGTCGCTCATTCTGGAGTACCTGCTTGGACTCCGACCACGCCCTAATACGGGCACGCATCTGCTTGCGCCTCACTGGACGCAAAAAAGCCACAGTAAAAAGACCCATTAGAACCGAACTGAGTAGCGAGGAAACCAAAAGTAGGTTCCAGGAACAACTGAGGTCACGATTAGGTAGTTCTGAAGACGAGGCTGACCCAGATGTTGCTTGGAATGAAATACAAGCAGCTGTGGAAGCAGCAGTGACATCTGTTAGCGACTTAAACCACAGAGTTACAAAGAACCAGTGGATTTCTTCAAAGTCTATCACACTGATGGATTCTCGCAAACTCGTCCCATCAGGTTCCGAACATGATGAAGAGCGACAACAAATCAGATCTAGGTTAAGAAAAAGTCTAAGAAACGACCGTGAGCAGTGGTGGGCAACGAAAGCAAAAGAGATGGAAAAGGCGGCGACTATAGGGAACACAAGACAGCTTTACAGACTAATAAAAGAAACTGGAATTAATAAGTCAAGTGTAAGTGAGATTATATCGGAAAAAGACGATACTCTCATCTGCTCCCAGTCCAGGCGTTTAGAACGATGGGCGGAACATTTCAGAGAACAGTTCAGCTGGCCTTCAGCTACTCTACAACTACCCTCCATTCCCAGACAGTGTGAATGGAACATTGAAGTAGGTCCCCCAACTCTTGCTGAAGTTCAAAAGGCTATAGTTAATCTGAAACGAGGAAGGGCAGCTGGTCCAGATGGATTGGCTCCAGAGGTCTTTAAGGATGGTGGTCCAATTTTAGCGAT